AGAGAACGAAAATCCTAGGAACTTATGGGAGTTAGTTGTTCATCTTGAGACCGAGAGGAGATAGATAACAATTAATATCTACGATTTGACTTGTTCGAGAGAAAGGTTTGAAATCAATTTAGCGATTATCTCTACGATTGGTAAAATTAAATAAGGTTTGTTTGAATATAAACGTTTCATGAATTAATTCCGAGGAACGCTTAGCCTAGAATCTACCTTTTGTTTCTTTATTTATTTTTATTTATTTAGATAAATTAGTTTTTAGTTTAATTCTTAGTTTATATTCATCATTCAATTCACTAGTCTAAATAATATTTAATCGTCGTTATTTTAGTACTTAATTAATTTAACTACAATCTCTGTGGAATACGACCTTGCTCGCCACTACCTATAGCTACGCCGTACACTTGCGGATAGCGAAAATAATTAGCGAACATTTATATATTTTTTAAATATGTAAGAAAATATAAAAACTAAATAAGTGAAATAAAAACAAATCATATATTATATATAGAAGTATCATTTTATTTTATAATAAATAAATTTAATTTAATTTAATTTATTAGTTTATTATAATTAATTTTATTTTATTTTGTTTATATATATTATGTTACTTCATTAATAAAAATATTTATATTTATATTTATTTTTTTATTTTATTTAAACGTATATTATCATTAATTTTTATATTAAATAGTAATATATTCATTTATTATTTTCAAATTTCATATTTAATTTAATTTATTATTATTTTATTTCAATTAAATTTTATTATAATGATTTAGTTTGTGATTATATTATTTTTTATTTTTGTTTGATTAAGTTTTCCTCTTGTTCTGTTGCTTTAAATAAATGTGTGTTAATTTTGTACAATATAATGATGGTGGCATCGTGGTTGAAAGCTTGGCTAGTGATGTTTTGACCCAAGTTTGAATCCTATGAGGAGCATCCAAGCATCAATTTTTGTCCAACATGCAAGGGGCAAAATAGTAAATTTCAATTTTAAAATAAAAAATATATGAAAAAATTGAAGTGCCGCATTACATTAATGTGTGCTGCACGCGCTGTGAAGTTGGACGGAGAGGGGGGATTCGTGCAAAAATTAGTTAATACGAGGGGGTCTGACGCAATTTTTAAAATACCAGGGGAAAACGCGCAGATTTCATATAATATAGGGGAATTTGGTGCAATAAACCCTTAATTATTTATATATGTACAATATATGGAAACAAATCAATTAACATTGACTTTTCCTGCGTGCCAAGTTTCCCGGTAAACAACGGGATGCATGCTTAAAAAATTGTATTACATAGAAAATAGCTATACAATCACGAGAATAGTAGTTTCCTAAAAATTTGTATAATTTGAATTTTGAAAACAAAAAGACAAAAAGAGAACTAAAACGCATTATATACAGAAGATATACTGAATATAAATTAATCTAGGCATTCTTTCTTATTTTTTTTTGGAAGATATACAGAAAATATAGTCATCATATATATAAGATATACAAAAAAACGACAGAAGATAAACCAATATATTTGTCATTATATACATAAGATATACAAAATATATAGTGAAAACACATTATATACATCAAAGAGTTGTCATGTTTGGCATTCTTTCTTTTTTCTTTTTTCTTTTTTTTTTTTTAGTTTATTCCTCACTGTCAACGAAGTTCTCGTCAAGACTCAACTCATTCATGTCGATTTCTTCGTCTTCAATAAAATTCGAATCTTGTTCGGTGTCTCCTTTCACGAAAGTGGTTGACTTTGTCTTCGCCTTGTTCGCCTCTTTTTTTGAATCTTATTTCATTCGCTCCATAGAGCATTTAGATATGACCTTTTCAAACACAAAATTCTCAATTAAATCAACTCGATCAACCAAAAAACAGAGTTAATCAACTGGTGGTGTACGACATATCAAGTTCTCACCGCTTTCGATCGCCGACTGTCCAGTCGCGCTCCTTGGATGTTGGACGAAAAGTAATTTTCGCCGCATCTCCATCCACGAAGCTCCATAGTCAGTTGACTCCGATTGCAAGTAGCTGCTCACAAAGCCTGCCGGTCAACCACTAGATCAAGGCTCGATTACTGCAAGCCGCGCCTTGTGCGTGACTCTACCACTTAATCGGAAAGAAGAAAATAAAAATAAAAAGAGGAAATGAATTGGGGATTTTGGTGATGGTGCGGAAGAGTATAGAATGAGAGGTTCAAGATGAGAAAGAGATGAGGAAATGACGGTAAAAAGAATAAAGAAAAAGAAAAAATAAAAGTGATGAGATAAATAATGTTGGTATAATAGCAAATAAAAATTAATGTGTTGGTATAATTACAAATAAAAATTATAATTAGTATATGTGCAAATAACAATAATCTTGATGGTGAATGATGTAATTTTCTCTTCGAGGATCTTTAAAACTAACAATACCTAACATTGCTGTTCATGAGTCAAAGTTCATTGGGCTCCATTGTCAGATGTATCCATACCCAAATCAATTTTGGGCTGAGTATTCCAGAAAATGGGCCGTATTTTTTATAATTTAATTCATTGTTTTTTATTTTTATTTTTTACTTTTTCAAAAGAATCATAATTCTATCATTTTCTTGTTTCTTATCTCCAAAGCATTTCAATTGTCTAGCGATTTGACAATGAAAGAAAAACAATAAATTTGTATTTCAAAAAATCATTTCATTTGTTGTCCAACCGCTTGGCTTATACTATTTGTTTCAAGATGTATGCTTAAATTAACATACTTTTGCTTGTGTTATTTTTTAAAACATGATATTTGTAACTTGAAAGTAATATAGATCGAAAAAATATAATTTTTTTACTATTTTTTTCAAGATGTATGCTTAAAATAATATACTTTTGTTTGTGTTGTTTTTAAAAACATGATATTTGTAACTTGAAAATAATATAGATCGATTTTTTCGAAAAAATTATATTTTTGTCAAGCAACAAGTAATACTTTTGCTTATCATAATTTTCGAAAAAAAAGTAATTAAAAGAAAATAAATAAATAAATAAAAATACGAGGGTAAATTCGTCAAGCAAAGTATTATACGTGGCATAGTTTTTAAATCCGACCCGGTGATCGACCCGGGTAGGTCATCAGGTCACCGGGTCAATTGTTGAACCGAATAATTAATTTTAAAATTTTTAAAATTATATATAGAGTATTTTTGTTATATAAATATACATAAAAGTAACAAAATTAAATGTTTTGTATATAAAATTTGTATATTAAAGTGTTAATAATATGTATCTCATGATAAATATTTACCATATAAACATATATACATAGTTTTATTTTTAAAACACAAAAAAATAAAAAAAATAAAAAAAATATATATGTATTGGGTCAACCGGGTTGACCCTGTCGGGTCAATGCCCCGGGTCGACCGGGTTTTGACTGAGTCTTTGGTTGCCCGGTCCAAATACTCCACTCGGACCAGTTCCGATTCCGGGTCGACCCGACGGGCCGGTCCGGGTCACAAAACAGTGATACGTGGTGCAATAGTGCAATCACTTCAGAGCTAATCCCATTCTCCTTTTCTTATTCCTACACAAAATAAAGCCCAAAACTTCAACCAAATCCTCTCACAAAATAATACGACCACTATCTCGAACAATTCTAAATTCTTAACCTGAATCTAGTTTTTCGCCCACTGTTCTGTTTTCTTCTTATTTTTTTCCATGTTAGAAGATCATCAATTACCGGTCATTTGGCCAATCCCGGCGCAGCTAGGGGGTGCTTTTTCTCTTTCAAATTTTATTGTTATTTTTTTTTGGGTTTTTTGTTTTTTCTGCTGGTGGAAATTGGAAATTAGCGAGCAGAAGAAGTTCAACATGAATCTGAAAGTTTATTTGTTTATTTATTTATTCATTTTTCATATTTTTTTTTTATGCAGCTGGATATTTGTGAGGGCTGAAACTCGGATTTGGGAGATGATGATCTGAAGTACCGCCATTGTTTTGGTTCCATTTGCAGGTTCTTGATTCGAACCAGATTTTATTTATTTTACTTATTTTTTAATTTTTGCTTTTAGCCTTTTGCGAGTGAGTGATGTTTATTTACTGCTTTGTTTTTATGGTCGAACGACAGAGGAATGTGCCTTTGACTTTGTGAATTGGCGCTAATTTTGTCGTGTGGATCTGTGTTAGTTTCCGAGGGAGTCGATGGGTTATTGTTATTTCCACAGCTGTTACTAATTTTTTATCCACTCCTCTCTGCAAACCCTAATTTATGTTTGGGTTTGATTATGATGAACAAGTCTCTTATCTGCTTTGCATAGCTATTCGATCTAGTCGTTATCCTTTTAATCGAGTTCGTGATAATTGTGAATAAGGCTTCGCAATCATAGTCGTTTGAACAATCCTCGATCCACGCATGAGCTCAACAATCTTCTGTCGCGTTCTCTTTGAAAGCTGGGTTTTTCGTGTTCGGTAGATTTGTGGCCAATACTGAGAAAGTCTACTTACATTCATATTAAGTTTTGCTATTGTGTCATTTGTGTTTGCATTGATTGGAGAAGTTTGTGAAATGTCCGTCGAAAATCTTGAGTGAACACAAATTTGAAATTTTCATAGGTTAGAAGACGAGCTGAATGTTATTTTTTTTTATCTGTTACAGTGCAAGTTAAGGTTTCTGTGAGTAATCTGGTTCACATAATTTGAAGGAAATGGAGTCAAATTCACATGAGGATAACAACTCGGATACAGACGCCCGTTTGCCGCCACATAAGCGTCTTCTAGCCGGGCTCAAGAGACATATTCCCGATGTTTATTCCTCGGGCCCGTCTACTCCTTGTAGTGCTGACTGTGAATACTATGCTCGCCTAAACAATCTCCTGAGGTTCCATTTGAGTAACCCTAATCTCTCGAATGAGGAGCTTCTAGAATCCTCCAGAAGTGCCGCAATAAAAGCTACAAAGTTTGCCGAGGCCAAAAGGGCCAATGCCGAGCAAAAGGCTACCAAGGCTGCCCATGCGGTGGCTGCTGCCAAGAATGCCCTTGAACTCGTTGCGAATCTCGAGGAGGCTGCTGCTAGAAAGGATAAGAAACGGAATAAAGTAAAAAAGCATGTCTCGGTCGAGGCATTTTATGATAAGAATAAAAGGGAGAAAAATGTAAATTGCAGGGCAGATGAGGAAGAAGTGGCTCGTAATTTGGACCGGGCCTCAAACGGTTCCCCGAGATTTTCGAAAAACTTGCCGGACTCGGATTCAAAGATTCGCAAGCACAAGAAGCTGAAAGATACTGTTTATAGTACGGAGAGTCGTGTTATTAAGGAAATAGATATGATAACAGTGGATTTGAACTCGAAAGACGGTGAAGGCGAAGAAAAAGCGATTCAGGATAATGGCGAAGCGGGATTCGATAATTTGAAGGATAAATATTCCGAGCCATTGGATAGTGTCGGTAGAAAGAGAGGTAGGATCAAGCAGAAAAAGTTGCCGTTGAGTATTTGTAGCTTCAAAAACCGAGCAGCCCCAACAGACGAGGAAGGGCAATCTGTTGATGATTCGGAAGCAACTGCAGAGAGGTCGTTGAATTCGGAGTGTGATTCGCAGAGTAAAGCAATGGAGTTGTGACATTTTCTTTTTTAAAAAAATAATAAGGGGGCTTTATTGATAGGAATCATTGGCCAAATTGTGTTTATTCTTTTCTTTTTTCTCTTGTTTTGTTTTAGTCACGCAGGAGGCCCTATTTATTTTCTTTTCCTTTTTAGTTTTTCAGATTTGTTTGTTGTGGTTATTCTGTATTGCTGCTTGTGAGTACAGTGCTGATTTTTTGAACTCTGAATGTATTATGTCTGTCAAGTGCTTGAAGCTTGATTGTGTGTATGCCAAGTGCTGGTAACATATATTTCAGAAGCTTCAATATCATGAATTAAAGAACTTGGCCATAATATTTTAACAGTGAACCAATTTTCACATGTAGCTCAAACAATGTAAATCATGAGAGTTTTTCGAAAGCCAAAACAAGCACAAACACACACAATCAATGTACAGTGATGGTTGAGCGGTATGAAAACCAGAGTAAAGGGAAGGGAATGGAAGAACAAAGAAACACCACTCGTTCAACGTTTATCATCTGCCACCAGCTGTGTCGAGATGCGCATATTTTTGCAGCTTCATGTCGCATGCTTTTGGGCCCGCAAACTAAAACGCCAACGTCCGATCCTTTGCAATCCAGAAGTATACCTATGAATCGCGAAAATAGCAAATGTAGCAAAGAAGTAACAAAACAGAAAAAAAGAAAAAAAGAAGATGAAACTCACTCTTCAAATCGGGACGCGAAACGTTTGTCGACTGAACAAGCGACTGATGAGGAAGGCTCTCGATTTCTCTATCCGAACTGCATAGCCAAGAAGAAGGCGACATTACAGGTGTCGGCATATCCACATTCTGGATTTGATTCTTCCCTTCAATGTCGATTTTTCTCTTTTGCCACAAGAAAATAGCATTAGTAGCCACAAACACACTAGCACACACAAGAAACATGTCCCACAAAATTTTATAGCTATAATGATAATTCTCTCCCCTTTTCTCGACAGGATATATATGGTAACGGGTTACAAATCCCAAAAGCAATAAAAAAAATAAGGAACGAGGATGAGATTATCTCGCCTAGCCAAAGCCAGCTGTTTTTTCCAAGAGCAGAAGTTAAAGGCATATCAAGTGGTTTTGGTTTGAACGTTTTTGTCACGATTTGGCTTTTTGCGTACTCGTGAGGCTTTTCTTGCTCTTGAGTGAATAAATGTAATAACCTTACGTCATCAAATGATTGTATAGAATAAATGGCGAGGTTCATGCACAAATGCTAAGGAATATTTCTGATGAAGTTATTCATTTGGTAGTCTACTAGTCTTAGTATAAGCTGTGTGTTAGTTTTGTACTGATTTTTTCGAATCACCAATAACAATAATAATAATAATAAATAATTATAATAATGTTGGTATGCTAGGAAGATTTTTTTGTCAAATGATTCTTTTCTATGCTTGTCCACACGTTGGGAAAATGTTATGCTAGGAAGAATAATAATAAATAAATTATGCAAATAATGGAAGTTGTAGCTTTTTTTGTGGGGTCTGTGCTTTATGTCTTAAATTATCAAAATTCAAAAATTATGACATTTAAGTAAAATTTGTGATTTACATGATAGAACAATAAATTAAATAAAAACAAGAGTTATACATATGCTTCCAAAATACCAAGATTAGTACTACTGCTCTAACTGTGAGAGTACCATGCAAGTACAGTTGACTTCATGTTATTCAAGTATTCGACCCATTGCAGTACAAGATTGTGCTTAATTCATCAAATGATTGGGAATATAAATAAACTTGTAGTTATCATATGGAATTGTTGAAATAATCTTCAAAGTCAAAGGCAATTAATTATTGATGAGAGAGAGAACCAAATTGCATAATATAAGTACATAACGAGTCGAGTTTGAACTCCAACGAATTGATCTCAAACATAACGAATTGATTTCGAACTTTAACGAATAGAACTATAGAAAATATATAAAAACTAACCTTTTGAACCTTAACAAGCCTTATCTATCCAAGCCAACAACTCATTAACAAAACGATCTTTAAGCAAGCTTGAGCTTGGCTCGCTTATCAAACCAGCCGAGCCAAGCTCACAGTCAGCTCATTTCGTTTCACTGCTCTAAGTACACATCATGATTTCTACTTCACAAATCCATAAGTTTTCATTAAAACCACATTAACTACCTTTTAAATTACAATGGAATTGCCTACCTATTATCCACCTTACTAAAATCTCGTGACCTTAGGGTTTTGCAAAAATTACATGATGTGCCTTAGAACTAACATCCCAAACCCAATCCCCAAAAATGTTGCAATGGCTATGCCAAAAATCCCAACAAGAATGGCAGGCACAACAAGGCTGGCCCACCCTTTAGCCGTGGCCATCCCGCCAGCTGTCGTGGGCCCGCCTATGTTGGCATTTGACGCCAGCAGTAAAATCTTCCGGTCGATCCTCGCTAATTTCCCGAGCCCCAAAACCACAATGAGGTGTACGGAAACTTGAACGAGCGCGAAAAGGAATATGCTCGGGGCCGTGTTGATCACGTTCCATAAACTACCGTTCGCGCCAAGAACCGCGAAAAACACCTGTCACACCCGTAAAGGTGTAAAATTAAGAAAATATCCCCCGATGTTTGCCGAACTAATTAACGGAGCATGTCAAAATAGTTGGGAAAAATTGGAGATTTAGTCCTGTAACTGACACCTAATTCAGAAATTGTTCGTTGATCGCGTTGACTTTTCTAAACACCTTTAACTACAAAAACCGTTTGCTGACGTGGATTTTATTTTTCATTTGTTTTCGTACACGTGCGGCCGCTAACATATCCAACTCAGCCACGTGTATCTGCAATATATATATATATATATATATATATATATATATATATATCCACGGTAGTAACCGGTCACAGGGACCGACTTTTGCCACCAAAAGTTAGGTTTTTTTAAAAGTTACAGGTTGGTTTGTAAAATCACCGCCATCACCGGACAATTTCTCAATTTGGTGTCAGTTACAAGACTAAATCTCCAATTTTTCCAAATAGTTGTACTTGTACTTCTTCACCTGCATTTGTATTAAAGCAAAAGCATCACCGGCCGGTGCCAGGTGGCGAAAGCAAGTTGGAAGCGAAGTGGCTAAAACGACAACGATTGCTGTAACCGCGGGAAGTTCTCCACCTTCAATTCCGAGCATTTTAGCGCAAAAAGTGCCGGCTTTACAGATGGCAAACGAAACAGAAAGTGCTGTAGCCATCTGGAGAACAGATGATTTGTTCTTGTTCAACTCGGGACTCGAAGAATCATCTGCACGGAAGTCCTAAAAAAGTACGATCAAAACTATGACAAAAAATCACTATCTTAAGCAAAACGAGCATTGGTTATTCCAGTTTTTACGTACTATTAATCGATTTTGCAGCCTCGGGAGGTATTTTAGAGGCCAATGCAAACAGCAAAAGGAAATACAGTGCGCATATTACGTTATCGGCAGCAATGCCTGCAGCAATAACCGATGGAGTTATGCCGAGCGCCTCGGAAATCGCCACGTAGTTTATTGCTGCATTTAAAAAAAAAAGAATAATAATTAAACAAACAGATGCCAATTATTATGATGAAAAATTTGAAACATTTCAAGTATAAATAGAAGGATTTTTCGACTTTACATGCCTCCACCAATATAACTGCCCATGAGAGCAGAAGCTATTTTCCAGCTGTCTTGACCGAGGGACCTCATCGGCAGCAACAAGAAAGCTACCGTGGTCCCCACAATAGTTGCTACTGGAAAAGAAAAAAAGAAACACGGTAACCATAAATTAGTTTACTTGGAAAGAAAATAATTTGTCCATTCAGTTAAGGCCAAACAGGTACTTATATGACCTGAAAAAATAAAAAAACAGTGGCCTTTCAAGCGCGCAATAGATTGGTCGAAATTTAACGAAAGACGACCTCCCGAACCAAAGAAACCCGAATGGACAAATTTATTAGTGATAGAAAAGGCAAAAAATTGGCGATTCTAGCAAGAAGTAGACCTGATCCTAGCAAGAAAGCTAAGAACAGAGTTCCGGTTGAACGTATCACTTGCTTCAAATCGGCTCTAAATAGTAGCAATGGTATTGTTAATGGCAGTAAATACCGAAACACCACCGAATAAGCTGGAGCATCGTGCGGAATAATCCCAAGATTACTTGCCGCAAGCCCGAGTAGTAAACTCACTAGTGCAGCACTAACCATACGACCGATTTTCGTCTTTTCTGACCTTTGATTTCATGTAGCCAACATTTAACAAGAAACAACTTTTTGAGTTAGTACTCAATTTTCCAATAGAGATGATGAAAATTTGCAAGTGATTATTTCCAACTTACGTTTGCTTATGAAAAAAAAGGGCAAAATTGCATTTTTAATCATGTTGGTTTCACGTCGCACTTTTAGTTCCAAGTTTCTAATATTTTGCTTTTTAGTCCTGTGATTTAATATATTGTTGCAGTTTCAATCCTCAAATGACTGAAATTGCAACAAATTCCCAAATTGCAATTAGCTCAGTAGAAGGATAGTAGGTTAGCAAATTACTCTAATCGACCAAATTTCAATCAAAAATTATCTATAGAACTAATTGAAAATTAAGAAACAAGCATTAATACTTTTACCTTCAAGAAAACTTGGGAGAAACAAATAATTCAACATTTTACCAGAGACCGAAAGCGCCGGTGGAAAAAAGGGCGGCCCAAATGCCCCACTGGTCGTCGGGAGAGATAACTGGCGTTGAGCTGTCCAAAATAGAACCGACAGTCTGAGAACCGCCGGCAATTTTATTCCGGTGAAAGAACCTGTTAGATAGAGGAGAGAGCATGTTTGGCGGCTGTCCGTACGGAGATTTGGCGCCAATATTGCTGGTAGGAGAGAAATTTATCGGCTTTGATGGAGGGGAAGGAGAAGATGATGGTGACAAAGCGGTGAGGTTTAGCGGCAAAACTGAGGTCGCCATTTTAACGGCGAAGCTTTGGCCGTCTGTGTGATAATTCAGGGGCGTTTGGGCTGAGGTTTCGAGCTACTTTTAGTTCTATCAACTCTTGGATTCGGGCAAATATAAGTGGGCCACGTGTCGTGAAGATAAATAGTAGGGCTGGTTTTTTGAGGTATTGTTAAATGAAAAATAGTTATTTTTTTTAGAAAAAAAAAATGATTTATAGATTCTAGTTAAGGAAGAAAGAAAAACATTTCACTTATTTTTTTTACAATTATATTATTAAAAAAATGATTACAAATTAAAAGAGTCAAATTGGCTAAATCACAGTAATTAAATATCTTAAAGAACTACAATTCAAAATTATGCACATACAAAACAACAAAAACACACACATGAAACAAATACATAGAATAATGCTCCCCATTTTCCAAAATTGCTGGCCACAGCTAGAGTTATAAACAAGTCGAACCAAATTCGAGCCCTAAAACATTCGATCTTGACCTAGCTCGTTAGCTAAACGAGTCAGTAATCAAGCAAGAGCTTGCTCGTTTATAATATAAAAAATCCTCTTTTCGATTTTCGAGCCTTGACAAGTCTTATTGAGTTGAATCAACCCCAACTCGTTAACAAAACATGTTGTAAATGGGCTGAAGCTCGAGCCGAGTTCACGAGCGACTCATTTCGTTTAATAGCTCTAGCCATAACTACCACCATTACAAACAAAAAAATTGCGGACAACTACTCAAAATGAAGAAAATTGCAATCAAAGGCTCCTAGATCTGAAAACTCTGAAAATATTATGGTGGCTAGGCAAATTCAGGAGGCTGTCGACACCTCCAGATGTTGCTCGGACGTTCGTTGCCTCCTCAGCCAAGGCCCGATTTCCCCAGTCAACACCCCACTAGCTTGAGATTTTCACCGAGAAGGCGGAGACCAAACTAAATTTATTTGACTACAATCTAACTTTTAAGTTAATTTATTATGTTATACCAAATATACTAAGTCCTATAGTAGCCACATGTGAAATGAAGGTTTACTATAGTTTATAGCCATAAAAGATAAAACAGTCCAAGCTTTCTAACTTCAGCTAGGCATTTTCAGACCAACAGAATAAGGTTACACAAAATTTAAAATGTTTCTCTATTTGTAAGTTATGAGTTATGTTATTTACTTAGTTTACTTCCAAGGGTTTCAAAAGTAAAATATTTACGTTATAGTATGATTTTCGTTAAAGATTGTTATTTTACGAAATTTAAATGGTGTAAAACTTATAATTACATTCAACCATAAAAGTAGTCAAAAGCTTTCTTAGTCCAGTTACACATTTTGCAGACCAACAACAAAAGGTTACAACAAATTTCCTCTTAATCTTCCTCCTCCCATATTCGAACTTCACATGAACCTCAAAACCGCTTCCCCGAAAAAAATGCCGAGAAAAGTAGCGATTGCAATTCCGAAAATGCCGGCCAAAATACCTGGAACGATCAAAGAAGTCCATCCTTTGGAAGTCGCCATGCCACAGGCTGTCGTGGGCCCGCCCACATTCGCATTCGACGCCAGCAGCAAAAGCCTGAGCTCAAAACCGAACATTTTTCCGAGCCCGAGTATGATTGCCAGGTGGACACCAATTTGGACGAGGGCAAACAAGAAAATACTTGGTGCTGTGGTTATTACATTCCGTATGTTCCCGCTTGCACCAACCACGGCAAAAAACACCTAACGAGCCAGCCGGGTTAAAGGTATTTTACGAAAATAACGTAAATTTATTTTTTTAGAGAACAACTTACGACGAAATAATTTTAACAGAAATAGGAAAGTAAATTCCACAAACTACCCTGAGAGTTAGCCTAATTACAGAAAGAAAAAATGATAATTTTCCAAGAGAGTAATTGTAGTTTCAAAAGATCTGATGGGTTTTGAAGTACAGATGGTTTGTGAGCCAACTTGTAGCTTCACAACCTATATTGAAAATGATCTATACAAGGATTATTTACATGTTTGATGTGTTGCAATTTTAATTCTGATATACAAAAGATCTCATTGCTATATTTCTAGTATTCGTCGTGAAGATCAACGAGGAAAGAAGATAAAGGCCCGACAACTCGGCAATTGAAACTATAAACGGCAAAGGGGGAAAATTCGAAAAAAAAAAAAAAATCCAATTTTCTCAGTTGGGTTTCTAAAAGAAAATCGATTTATAATGCAAATAGAACTAAAGTGTACAATTTTCTAACCTGCATTAGTATGAGAGCCATAGCCTCGCCAGAAGGTGCCAGGTAAGCAAACTGCTTAGGAAAAAGGGTCGCCAAAATAACGACTATAGCCGTTATAGCTGGGAGGCTTCCTCCTTGAATTCCGAAATATTTCGTCAAGAAAATCGCACTTTTGCATATAATGAAGGACACAGCAAGGGCAGTTGCAGATTGCAGTACAGATAGCTTATCACCAGATTTCGATTCTTCATCGTGTCCTTTACCTACAAAAAGGTTATAAAATATCATTTGTTACATTCGGTTTTTTTAAGAGTAACAAGTTTATTGATGGGAGTTATTTATTACTTGGGTCTTGAATTATCATTTTTTTTTTTCCTTTTATATGAAGTATGCACATAATTAAAAAATTTCAATAAAAACTAGATAATAATTAACATCTGCATAATTTGAACCCACCAGCTGCAGAAGTTGAGGTCTCGGCTGGTATTTTGGAAGCCAATGCAAATAATGTGGTGAAATATATTGCACAAATAACGTTATCAGCCGCTAGCCCGGCAGCTAAAACCGAAGGCGAAACTTCCAAAGCTTCGGATATTGCGACATAATTGACAGCTACACAACACAGACAATAACGTAGCTAATGTAAATCTTCAATCCACAAAAAAAATAACATGATCTATTATTATTATTTTATTTAATTTTTTTTTTTGGATGCAGCAAAACTTGTGTAGATCATTATTCGGAATATGATATGAGTTTTTAAATGAAAATGAAAACTCACATTAATCTTGCTGCATATACATATAAAACTTCAACTGGGCACCTAATTTCATGTTAAAGTCTCATGCTTTTTTACATTACCTCCACCAATATGCCTTCCCATAAGAGCAGCTGCTATCTTCCAACCATCTTGACCGAGCGACCGCATTGGAACCAATAGGAAAGCGACAGCTGTCCCCACTGTCGTTGCCACTGTGTGATAATCACAAGAGGGAAAAAGGGGAATAAGAAATATAGCTTCTTTTCTGAAATCCGGGACGGTCACAGAAATTACCCCATGTATTAGCTTAAATTACAGAAAAAGCACTAATCTTTGCCTAAATTCAGAAAAACCCCATTAAAATTTGCTACAAACATCCCATTCATTCCTCATGCTTGCATTTACCGAACTATAATAACTTCCTCTTCGGATAGCAGTCACGATTATTTTTACATTTAAAATATCTCTCTCATCTCTGTAATTGTTCGAGGCAACTTTTACAATTAAAACTTTGGAAAAACTAATCATCGGTGCTATATTCGAAACTCATGAAACCGGCTCAGATTTTCTGGATCAACTGCACTTCACTCTCCAAACTATACCTTTTACATACTTTGATGAACTCGGAAAGTAACTAAATTAAGAGCAAATTTATTCAAACTATGCAATTGAAAAACAAAAAAAATTAAATATCACCTGAAATTCTTACTGAGCTCTCATTACCTGATCCAAGCAAGAAGGCTAAGAGCAACGTGCCCGTAGACCTTATAACCCTGCGCATGTCAGCCCGGTAAAGCAGCAAAGGCACGGCCAAAGGCAGCAAAAACTTCAAAACGACATCATAAGCCGACGCCTCGCTAGCTATGATGCCCAAATTGCTCGCCGCAAGACCGATTAAAACGCTCACGAGTGCCCCACTCAATGCGCTCCCGATTTTGGTCTTTTCTGACCTTCAACACACAGAAAAATTACCAAATTCGGCAAAAGGAAAGGGAAAAATTTAACAAAATATAACAATAACTTGAACTATTTTCACCAGATGCCGAAAGCGCCGGTGGCGAAAAGGGCCGCCCAGGTGCCCCACTGGTCCTCCGCGGAGATGATTGGGAAGCTTAAATGTGACCCGGCGGCTGAATTTCTTGATAAATTGTGGGAATTGATTTTTAGAGGTGGGCTGAGGAATTTGTGCTTGTTGGGTGCTGGGGTTAGTGGAGGGATATTTTGGGGTGGTGGGGTGTGGGTATTTGAGGCTTGGGCGGCGTTACGGTGGGAGTGTACCGACGATGGCCGTCGAACCTGCGGCAGAGGGTGGTGGGTCGGGCGGAAAGATAGGAGCTTCACGGCCATTGACTCGATCGGAGTTGAAAAAATGACAGCTCGTCTGAACTGAAGTGGGCCAGTGACTGTTGTTTGAGACTTTGAGCTGTAATGCAGATCGAGCGAGCTCGACTCAGTTCGAACTCGGCAATCGGCTCTTTAATTTTAAATTCAAACTCTGTCCAAGTCATTTTTTTCAATTGGGCCGTTAACGGGCTGATTGATATCCAATCAGAAAGTTCCAATTGAATCCACTACACTTTAATGGGCTTTGGTACTATAAATTGACACGAGTTTTTGAATTTGCAAGGAACAACAATATTAGCAACTTACAAGTGTAATATGTATCATAATTTTCCTTTTGCATGATACAATTAAGTTACAAGCCGATAGTCATAGTTTTTATCATAATTTTCTTTCTATTATAATGTGTTTGGAATTGGAGACTAATATATTAATATGACTATGGTTGAATTGATTTAAAATCAAACAAAAAAAAAGCATAATAATCTATTAGAACTACCAAGTTTAGATATATTACACATTTCATCGTTAACATATTAGTATTAAAAACTTAAAGACACAGTCCTAGGAAAAGCTCGAAAGACCACTAAACGAAATGACATATTTACCTTAAGTCGACGACAGACAACTCTATCTAAGTAACTCAGCAAAATAGCCTCATAACTTCATAATTGAACACAATTTAGACAGAGACACATCAAATTCCTTAATTGATATTTATATAACTATTTTTTATAATTTTTTATTAACATTTTTTATGCTTTTTTATAGCTATTGTTATTGTTGTTTAAAACATTCTACTAACAAATCTCAAGTTGAGGCCATGTGCAATGTCCCATGATGCACCAATCTCATGAACAAGCAAAATTGACTCCCACACTCCACTGGATTTATGTGGTTTGGCCCACCATTAAATACCAGATGATAAGCCTTTCATCAATCATCATAAGGAGACGAAAAATGAAAAAATAAAAAAATTAAAAGGATTAAAGAATTATAGAAATAGAGAAGAAGAAGAAGAAAAAAAAAAACGAAAAGGCAGCAAAGCACAATAATCACATTTCACTATACGAGGGTGCAAGGCAATTAGAAGTACTAATTATTTGAACAATGTCTTCCAAAAGTCTGTACTTTTATAATTGCATTTCTAGTTGACATTGTTCTTTTTTTCTTGCCCGTTTTCTGCTAATTTGACATTGGTATGTTTAGGGTTTAAGATGAATTTTTCAAATTTTAGAAACACACCCAATAAAAGTGCATTTATTATATAGTTTTCACAATATATATATAAATATTTATATATAGATGTGCTTAGCTTGAAAGCATTATCATCAGAGTGTATTGGACTAAATCGTGATGAACAGGAAAAGCCAACTAAGTTCGTGGGATGAAATTTATAGGGTTGAATAGGTAGAAACTGAACTTGACCAATCGAAAATTCGATTAATTGAAATTTTAGTTTGGCCAAAATAAAAAACCAAAAAAAGGTGACTGAACATGGGTTGAGTTTGGAGATGAAAATGATCATTCTATTTTTTTTTTTTCCAATTCATGGATTATATCGAATTTTTGATTTACTTTCGTAAATCGAACGTATCTTCAAATCGAATTATAATTTAAATTTTGCAAAAATAATAACCGAATCAAATATTTAGTTTCGTTTTTGTCCAAATCAATATTTCAGTTTCAATCATTTAACCATATCTTGTGAATTCATCGGTCTTCATGTTCGAGTTAATGAGTTTCCAAATGTTCGGGTTTTATTTGTTTATTAAAGATTATTTCATACATTTTAGAGGTTTTTTGGACTGAAGAGAAAAAAAAGATGGTAGATTATTTGTTTACGTGTACGCATAAAATTTCAAAAATAAGATTTCTTTGTAAGGAAATGAAAGTAACGGGGACCAACATTATTGTCATTTTATCATCCACTCAATTAGTAATAATCATTAAATTGTGATTAAACCTGCCTCAACCTGTTACATCTTAGATTACCATTTTCAAATTGCGTAATTATAATATACATTTTATTCTGCAGACACAAATTTAGATACATTTATAATTGATAAGAAACAATACAGCTGGAATAGGACAAGTGTGAAAATGAAAATTTCAGTCATAATCTGTCTATGATAATTACAAAATAAAACAGAAAACTTGCCCCAAATGTAAATTGGCTATAGAAAATAAATTAAGAACTTTTTTTTTTCTTTTTGAATAATTTGGAGTGGTGCAATTTAATGTTCATTAAGATCAGCACATGCCCAAGATTCATTGTTCCTATTGGTCAAACTATGTGAATAATTTAACCGAAAGTTTTGGGAGATATTTGATTTTAATTAGTGCCTATTGGCTTGTATATATATTTTTATTTTGCTACCTCATATATCTAATTAATCAATTTTAACATTGTAAGTATCCTCAACAAGCTGCATAAGTACTTTTTATTAGGTGATTATACTTGTTTGGACATTTGTAGTAGTTTGACTTTTACATTATAAAAATAATGTTTTGTGTTAGTAGATCGTCGGAATGTATGGTTCTACCCAAAGAGTAGTTCCTATAAGTGTGGTCACTATCTGCACTAGGTTTGAATCATCGGATCATGCATATAGTTGGAATATATGGTTCTGTTGGAACGGTAGTTTCGACCTTACATGTGTGGTCACTATTCCACTAGGTTTGAATCGTCGGATGATGTGTATAGTTGGAATGCATGGTTCTGTTAAATAGCTAGTTTCGACCCTACAAGTGTGGTCAATAATCGCACTAAGTTCAAATCGTCGGATCATGCATATAGTTGGAATATATGGTTATGTAGAAAATGTAGTTTCGACCCTACAAGTATATTCCCTATCGAACTGTCTGATCATGCATATAGTTGTGATGTATAGTTATACTAAAAATGTAGTTTCGACCCTACAAATATGGTCACTATCCGCACCAGGTTTGAACCGTTGGATCATGCATATAGTTGGAATGTATGATTTTGTTGAAAAGGTAGTTTTGACCCTATAAATGTGGTCACTACCCCAAACAGGTTTGAACCGTCAGATCATGTATATAGTTTGAATATATGGTTCTGCCGAAAATGTATTTTGACTCTACAGGTGTGGTCACTATTGAACTGTCTGATCGTGCATATATACAGTTGGAATGTATGATCTATCCGCACAAACTTTGAAACGTCGGATCATGCATATAGTTTGAATATATGGTTATGATGAAAATGTAGTTTTGACCCTATAAGTGTGATAACTATTGAACTGTATGATCGTGCATATAACTGGAACGTATGGTTCTGCTGGAAAGGTAGTTTTGACCTTACAAGTGTCGTATGGTTCTGCTGAAAATGTAGTTTCGACCTTACAAGTGTGGTCACTAATCACTATTGAATTATCTGATCATGCATATAGTTCGAACGTATGGTTCTACTGAAAAGATAATTTCGACCCTGCAAGTGGTGCACTTCCCGCATTGGGTTCAAATCATCAAATCATGCATGTACACACACATTTATGGGTGTGTGATATGCATGATCAGACGGTTTGGACCACTATATGCGTATGCATGATCTGACGGTCTGAACCCTGCCAACATGCTCGATTTTTTCTCTGTTTTCTTATGGAAATTAACAACTTCCATTCACCTAATGATAAGTAACAAGGAATGAAACATACATTATCAATGTTATTTTACAAAATTTGGGGTATCAAAAAAGAAATGATAGATAAATTTACAAATATGATCTTGACACTCAGAACAGCAGAATTTCATTTCCCATTGGATATATGGTCCATGAATAGTCTGTTTTTGACCCATAAACAAACCAAAACAGAAAGAGATATTCACAAATACAAGTCTATTTATTTCCTAAGATGCAAAAACCTTTTTCTTTCACATCACCCCTCAAATCATCCATTTTTATCCCAAGAATCTGCGCTAAAATCATCAGAAAATAGAAAAAGGCCACAATAAATTCGGCATATTTCAGCTGCAAATCATTCTAATTTTTCACTCATATTCTGCAAAAAAGTTCAATTCTTGTGTTATTTTCCCAGAATTCCTCTGAATTCTCTTTTCAACAACAACAATAAAAAACGATAACAATTTTGTTCTGTCTCCTCCACTCTTCGTCAGTATATAGACACTGTCACTGTTTTTCCCTTCAAAACCAAAATTTATCCCCTCTCTCCCTCTCTAACTTCCTTCATGGAAGCAAAATTTCTCCACTTTCTCTCTCTAACCTCCTCCATTTTCCTCCTCTCTGCAGCCTTCACGCCCCAAGACAACTACCTCATCAGCTGCGGATCGAGCTCCGGCTCAATCACGGTCGATAACAGACGCTTTGTCGGTGACGCGTCAAGAACCGGGTCGACTCACCTATCAGAAGGTAAAAAATCTCGCTCTCTATCAAACCCGAGATTTTCAGAAAACCCATCTCCCAATTACCCTGCAATTTACAGTTCAGCTAGGATTTTCACCTCGCCCTCTAGCTATAAGTTCAAAATCAACAACATAGGGACCCATTTGGTGCGCCTGCATTTTTCCCCCTTTGTTTCTGAAAATTACGACCTCAAAGCTGCGAAATTTAGTGTTTTGGCAGATGGGTTTTCCCTGTTGAGCGATTTTACCTCGAACTCCACTGTTCTCAAGGAGTTTTTCTTGATGGTAGAAAGGGACGAGCTTGAAATCATGTTCTCGCCCGTTAGCTATTCCGATTTCGCTTACACTAACGCGATCGAGGTTTTTTCAGCGCCGAAAGATTTCTTCATAGATTCAGGTGGCGTAGCTTTGATAAACCCTGATGGGGTTCAGGAATTCAAGCAGAACATTACAGAACAGGTTTTCGAAACTATTCATAGGATTAACGTTGGAGGCTCGAAAATAACCCCGTTTAACGACACGCTGTGGAGGACTTGGGTCCCGGACGATGATTTTCTCGTCCTGAAATCCGCGGCCCGAATTGCTAAAACCTCCGACCCGCCCAACTATCAGGAAGGCGGGGCAACCCGCGAGAATGCGCCCGATAACGTGTACATGACAGCTCAGCAGATGAATGTGGTGAATAGGAGCTTGATTTTCGAGTTCAATGTTAGTTGGGATTTCCCGGTGAGCGAAGACGACGATATGCATTTCGTGCGTTTGCATTTTTGCGACATCGTTAGTGTTGCTTTAAACACTTTGTATTTCGACGTGTTTATAAATGAAGTAACCGCGTATAAGGATTTGGATCTATCGGTCCTTGCCTTCCATCGCCTTGCTTCTCCTTATTACATGGATTACGTCGTGAGGAAAGCGAAGAAATCGAGCCTCGTACGAATCACCGTGGGCCCTTCGCATCTAAGCACAACCCTCGCGAAAAACGCGATCCTCAACGGAGTCGAAATCATGAGGATGGTGAATTTGGTCCCGTCTAGGCAAACTAAATCCGAGTCGAGGAGGAGCAAATGGATTTTGGTTAGTTCGATTGTCGGAGGAGCACTCGCGCTCGCGCTAATTATAATCCTTTCGGCGACTCTCGCCGTTCTCGTGCTCAAACGCAAGAAAAGAAGAAAACCGAGCCCGAAATCCAAACGGGCCGAGAGCGGAGGCTGGACCTCCGTTCGGGCCTACAACGCCAGCTCGCGGGCCGGCCCGCCTTCCGAGGGGACCGTTCTCGCGTCCCCCGGCCCGTACGGCTACTACGGGCTCAAAATCCCGTTCGCCGATCTCCAAACGGGCACGAACAACTTCGACCCGAGCCTCGTGATCGGGTCGGGCGGGTTCGGGCTCGTCTACAAGGCGATAATCGGCGAGAACAACGTAAAAGTCGCCGTCAAACGCGGCGTGCCGGGGTCGAGACAAGGCCTACCCGAGTTCCAAACCGAAATTACCGTTTTGTCCAAGATCCGCCACCACCACCTCGTCTCGCTCGTCGGCTACTGCGAAGAGCAGTCGGAGATGATACTCGTTTACGAGTACATGGAGCGGGGCCCGCTCAAGCGCCACCTGTACGGCGGCTCGGATTTCACTCCGCTTTCGTGGAAGCAAAGGCTCGAGATTTGCATAGGGGCCGCTCGCGGCTTACACTATCTCCACACGGGGTCCGCGCACGGGATAATCCACCGGGACATAAAGTCGGCCAACATCTTGCTCGACGAGAACTACGTGGCGAAAGTTGCCGATTTTGGGCTCTCGAAATCCGGGCCGTGCATGGACGAGACGCACGTGAGCACGGGCGTGAAGGGTAGTTTCGGGTATTTGGACCCGGAATATTTTCGGAGGAGGCAGCTGACGGATAAGTCGGACGTGTACTCGTTCGGGGTGGTGTTGTTCGAGGTTTTGTGTGCTAGGCCCGCGGTCGACCCGTTGAGGGCCCGGGAGCAGGTGAATTTGGGGGAATGGGCGTTGGAGTGGCAGAGGAAAGGGATGGTGGAGCAGATAGTGGACCAGCGGATAACGGGCCAGGTGAGGCCCGGTTCGTTGAAGATTTTCGTGGAGACGGCTGAGAAGTGTCTGGCTGAGTATGGGGTCGACAGGCCGAGTATGGGGGATGTGTTGTGGAACCTTGAGCATGCGTATCGGGTTCAGATGGGCCAGGGGGATTTTGATTCGGATGGGCCCGTTGTGTTTGAAAATGGGCCAATGGGCCAGGCCCGGGAAGAAGGGGAAGGTGAGGAGGTCGGTTCGGATATATCGACGAGCCGGGTTTTTTCGCAGTTGCTGACTAAGGAGGGGAGATGAGGTTGAGGATGGAATGTGACTCAACTCAAGCGCTTGCTTTTGGGCATTTTTGGTTGATTGGTTTTCAAGTTTTATTATTGTTATTATTATTTTTTAATCTTTTGGATGGGTATATTGTTGTTATAAGATGCATACAAAGAGTTGGGAATTTAGCAATTTGGAGTTGAAACTTGTACCAAGTTCATGCTTATATTAAAGAATGAGAGTGGCTTGCAGTTTATTTTTTGGACAAATCTAAGAAAGTCTACAAGACTACAATGTTGAAGGGCGCATCGCTCAATCTAGATTCAAGCACTGGCTTCAACATTAGTCGAATCTAAAATTCATTTTCAAGTCTAAATCCATCTTGAAATAATATCGAATGAAAAAAATCCGTCAGGAAGATTTATATAACTCAAATGGAGACCAGAGTTGATTCAGAAAAAGTCGTTTAACCAATAAATTAAATTTATTCAAAGTTAAGCTCACAACTAGAAAAAGATTACAAGGTGAATTAATTTCGGAAATCCAAATTCAAATCCACAAGCAATAAGAATAAGATGGCGTCATATCCGCAACATTAATCGAGAGATAGTATTTTAGTTAATTTAATAATTGTAAGATTGATAGCGTTTAAATGCACGTTTATGCTTTATGTTACCTCGACCTAATCTTTTTACAGATATGTATACTTTTATTATAATATATTATAATTTAAAAAAAGAAAAATCTATATATAATTGTTGGCAGGACAATAAATAAAACTTTCATAAGATTTCAGCTCATTTTTCAATTAATGTAGAAACATAATATTTTACATTAATAAAGTGTAATGACAAATTTAAACTAATTTATTATATAATATTACTACTAATACTAATTGATTATAATTTTACATTAAATAATATGTGGAAGTTACATACTTATAAAACAAAATTATTGCAAATTTTTTCTTTAAAATACTTTTTTCTAAAATAAAATATTTTTTATCTTTTCAAGCGATTTTTATCTAATATTAGATAATTGGCGTGAGTGTCATAATTACACACCTTAAAATCACATAAGCAATTGTTATAACAATAATAAAAATAATTATAATACTTTTCTAACTAATTAATTGTATGGTCCCTCTAAATTACAAAATTATATTATCTCTTAAAATTTATGGCATCAATATAAAGATTCGTACGTAAGTCAAATTAGTACAATCTCGATCAATTATAGTGTAATCGAACTCGAATCAGTCCAATTGAAGTCAAATTAGTACAATCTCGGTCAATTATAGTGTAATCGAACTCGAATTAGTCCAATTGAAGTCGAGTTAGTACAATCTCGGTCAATTATAGTGTAATCAACCTCGATTTAATCCAATTGAAATCAAATTAGTACAATCTCGGTCAATTATAGTGTAATCGAACTCGAATTAGTCCAATTGAAGTCAAATTAGTACAATCTCGATCAATTATAGTGTGATCGAGCTCGAATTAGTCCAATTGAAGTCAAATTAGTACAATCTCGATCAATTATAGTACAATCTCGATCAATTATAGTACAATCTCGATCACCTTGAAAAACGGATTTTGAGAATCCGGCTGTTTTATTTTTGTCCAGAATGTTTTTTTTTTTTTTATGGATGTCCACGGATTTTTTGTTTTTTTTATATAAATAAATGATTCTAAAAGAATAGCTTTTGTAATACCAAAAACTGCAATCACTTTTGTAATGAATTCAGTGAAAGGCTTGGCGTGGCACAGCCTCCTGGTAAAATCTTATTTCCTTCAGGTTTTATATCACTCATAAACCCCCAACATAATTCGTATTCGCTTTATACGAGCGTTCTTTGTGATGATATGCGACAAGATGGAATGAAATTGTATCTTGTGGGGGATAGTAAATTTGTAATAGACACTGTATATCACTTTCTTCATTTAGGACACTGATAATTTTAGCTTTACCTTCAATTTAGCAAGTGTGTGCTCTTAATGGCTTCGTAACACGTTGTGTAAACAGGTTTGCAAATACTGGTGACACGGCTGCAGAAATAGCTGGAAACACGGCCTATCGAGTAAGATTCTGTCTGTTTATTCAATTACTATGCTAGATAAAAGTATAGACCATTGGTTGAAGCATATTTTAATTCACTAATATTGGTGGAATTTGTTAATGCAGTTTAGACAAGCTAAAACCGAAATTGTCACAGCCAGCAAAGTGGCGTGTCGATTTTTAGCAGGATTCTCGACAAACAGTCCAAACACGGCTACAGACACAAACTCGCCAAAACCTACGACCCAAGCTTGCTGGCTCAAGACCTTTATCACACCTGGGATTAAACCAACAAGTAGCTCAGATTGACAATTGGAAAATCCACTTTTTGCATACTGTTGTAAAATTGTTTCATTTATGTAAAAGTTCAAAATAAAAAATGTTACAGCGTATTGTCGCCTTTGTGTAGGATCGTTTCGTTTCTCCATTTCGTTTATGTTGTTTTGCAACTTCACAATACTGATGATGAAAAGAAAAAATGGAAATTTGAATTCAATTTCAAAAACAAAACAGTCATAATAACACAGGAACACAAGGACAGTAAAGTGAAGACAACACTCACTAAATTTTCACCTCAAAGCCAAGCAAACTGTGATTAGACACTCCACTCCAGAGAGACATCAATATGGGGAAAGTCGAGCAAAACATAAAAATCCAGCAAGAACTGAAGAAAAGCTTAATCCAACTACAAACAATACAAGCTTGGTCTCTCATCACACTGCAGATATATACACACACAAAACAACATTATTTATTCAGAAACAGTAAACAAACAAGCTGTAATGCCCACAAACTGATGAATTGCAGTTATCTCACCCTCTCAACACATGATTCAATACATAAGCATCGTCATCATCATCTGCTATCTTGAGCGAAGATTCTGCATGAGCAGCAAGATGACCGACCGAACCCCAAACTTCATCTCCAAAATACACCGAAGAACAAAAGTTCCTCACATAGTTAGGATCAGACGAGACCATAAAATTAGAATTTTCCCAATAATTCCCCAATGGCACGTAGGCACGAGCTTCCGATACCAACCCAATATTCGCGAGCTGAAAATATCTCGAAAAATCAGAAAACGGGATCAAAGGTTGACCTTGTCCCATGATGATTTCATGGTCCCAAAGAGTGGGCACTTCATCTTTCTCCATAATAATATTCTTATGCAAATCGTCCGAATCTTCACCAAGTAGGACATGCAGAGCAACGGCCTCTGATATTCTAGCACCTTCCTCGTCGAGCCTTTCTTGTTCTTCCTTCTTTTTTTGCTTCTTTTTCTCGAGTTCCGAACGTATGGCTGCTGAGGTGGCCAGGGCCTTCTCCAGGCGCCTTTTTTTCTTCTCAGCCTGTTTAATACGATCGAGCTCATCCTTGACTTGCTTTTTCTTGGCTTTTCTGACTGTCACTTTAGCACCTTCCATGATATACTCTCACGCTTGACTCTAGTATTATACCTCCGTATGTGTCTCAAGTTTCNAAAAGGAAAAAAAAATGGAAACAAGGAGAGGGGCGACGGATATGGGAAACTTACACCTACACCCACTCAGGTCTAAATGAATACCTCATTTTACGAACGCTACATTCCCAAAAAGAAATGACAGGAGAAAGAAAGAGGGAAAACAGGTAAGCACTTATTAATTCCTTTTTCACCATTGCTCCCGATTTTCCGCAACCCATGCTACCCATTTCACAAACTAATGTAAGAATATTAATGTTGATATTAATATGAAGTAACTATTCGTTTTTATAACAGATAAGTCACATGGCATTCCCTCCTGCAATATAAACAAGAATAAAATCAACAGCTAGCCACCAAATATGACAAAAAGAAGTGCGGCGACTAAAACAGAATACTCCAGATTCCAGAAAGAACTCCAACCAACAAATTGATGGTAAAACGTCAGACTAACTGACTAAACATATTCTAACTACTATAACTTACGACAAACTATATTAACAAATGAGATCATGCACGTCAAGACTAGATCTTTTTAACACAGGAGCATAATACAGTTTCTATAGTCCTCCTGCCATGCAAATAACTAGCCACGCCATTTAACTTAAGAAGAACTTAGTAGCCTACACAAGCTAGAATACGAACTGCTCTCAAGAAACTTATAAAGTTCCCCTGTTTTCCACTTTTACTGAGAAAATATTCAATTTTAACACAAACAAATAAGTAACTTAGAACAATAACTGGATTGATTTACTTCTATCGATTCTATACCGTTATTTCATGATTCAACCAACAAAACTTAGCAGCACGGCCCTACATTCGGGTCCCAAAGCCAAAAGAAAAATAAATTGCCAGTCAATGAAAAAGTCCACGACGCCTTCAAAATCAAGCAACTCAGATTCCAAACAATAAACCCGGCGTTTAGCCTAACAATTCAATCAATATACTTTTGCTAATTAACAAAGTACAAGTTCTAGCTCGATCCACATAAGCCATAACCTAAATCTGAACAATAACTCAAATATACCCCTTTACGCAACAATCAGTACCCAATTAAGAAGCCATACCTAGAAAATTACAGATAATTCAGACACAATCAATGACAGAAACCGGAAAACACTAAAAATTCTGAGTTAAAATCAAAGCTAAAAAGGAAAACCTGTCGTAATCTAGGAGAAAAGCAGAGGGACCTCCCACAAAACCTATCGACACAGAAGAAGATAAAAGGACAATTTGATCTCTGCCTTTGAGAAAAGAGTGCGTTTCTGTGCGTGTGAAGAGATAGGGAGAATGGATTATTACAATTTATAAAATAACTGATCACATGAGATTGGCGAAAGAAGGAAGTCATGATTGGGAATTTGATGGCAGATTAGGAGGACACATGTCGGTTAAAGGACACTGATCCAGAATTTCTGACTTTTTTCTTTTTATTTTTACTGTTTTTTTAAATTAAAAGAAGAAAAAAGAAAAAGGTACAAGTAAAGCTTGGACTTGGAGTAAGAGTAAGCACTTTTCATTGGAATAAGAAGATTTTTTTCCGGTCGTTTTTTCACACTACTGATGCTGTTCGTAAGATTGGCTTTGCTTAATTTATTATGACGTGAATTTATATGGTTTGGTTGATAAAAAAATCAAGCTCGTTTAATTAACGAGTCATTTTTTCAAACTGATGTAATTTTTGTATTTTTAACTTAATTTGCCTCTTTAAAAATTAAATTAGATTTATTAATATTGATAAATAAATTAAGTTTGAACTTGTTTAGCATATTGTTTAATTAACTATTAGGTTTGATGAATACCCAAGCCAGAGTTCAAAAACTGTAAGTTTATATTCGGCTGGCTTTCGTTTAAAGCGAGTGTTTTAGGGCGGCTTTCGTTTAAAGTGAGTGTTTTAGGGCGTGATTGTATATGAATTGTATAGTAAATATTTCAATCAAAACTCAAATTTAATTCTACTTTAACTCAACTCCACTATCTCCAATATTATCAATATAATTAAATAATATCAACCAATCATTATTATACATCACATCAATTTTAATTCACTATTCATCTGCTCACATAATTTTAACTAACCATCACTTCAATCATTTTCTCCTACTTTTACATCAAATCAACTTTAATTAATTTAACTTAAATATTATTTTAATATATTCACTAACAACTAACCATACTACTTTTTTAAACTTAATTATAGTTAACAAATAACCAATTTTTTACTAGTTGAATTCATATCCAATCACCCCTTAATGTTTTTACGGTTTAAATATGATTCTAAATTAATCACACAAAAAATATAGTTTAATGTTTTAGAGTTGCCGACAATCTTGACGTTTGTTCCATTTTATTATGAAAATGCATCTTAAAGGATAAAAGTTGTCCATTGGCGAGCCAAAGATCCTTCGTAAATGAAAATTTGCAAAACATTTAGGCCTTGGTTGATAATCAGCGGTTAGCTGTTACCAGATTGTGTCAGCTGTTTTGACCATCGAATTGTATTAGCTGTTTTGACTAACTGTTTGTGTTAGCGGTTTATTTTAAAATTGTTTGATAAATTAGTCGTTCGTAAATAACTGCTAACATGCAAAATTACTTAAAAAAATTATAAACTTTAATTTCTTTTTAACTTTAAATTTGTAATTACTTAGAAAATACAAAAATTTTCATATTTTTTAATTTGTAAAATTATTTGAAAATTAAGTTGTATACTTTAATATTTTGTTTAGAAGAATTTAAGTTAATTTTTTAATTATTTATTTAAATATGTAAAATATTCAAACTCAGATAAATAAATTTACATCAATTAAAAATTGATAAATTAGCCCATCAAACTTTTTGAAAAATTCATACAACTCAATTAATTCAGTGGTCCATTTTTTATTATATTTGTTTTCTTTCCAGTATATAATTACCGTAAGCATCAAGTGAGCGTGTGGTTTTTTTTTTTATCAATCATTGCAATAAATTATCACCAAATGCCTTTCTATTGATTATAGCCCAATCCGCCAATACAAAACGCTTCTCATTGTAGCGTTTCCATATTCAGCTGTTTGTATCAATCCGCTAGTTTAAAAAGCTATTTTATCAAACATGAATTTCAGCTAATTTAAGTTGGTCAAATAGCTATATTAGCGTTTTAACTCAAAACGCTAGAAAACAAACAAGCCCTTAAACGGATGGTGTTTGAAATTTCGAGACTTAATTAATCCTTTTCAATTAGCTGCAACATTTAGGACGATTTTCTATGATTATTCTTAATGGCTTGTAAATGAACTCGAAATCTAGCTTTAACGAACACTTCGTTTATCAAACAATTTGAAATATAAAAATTTATATAGAAAATTTATTTTATTGAGTCTCAAGTAGTTTGAACGAACCATACTCATTAACAATTCAAATTTGAAACGAGGCCGAGTTTGATTCATTTATACAAATAGTTGAACCGAATCGAGCTCATGGATGAATCGTTTAATTTAATAACTCACTTATGTATAGTTGAAGAAAAAATATTCTGTATAGTTGAAGATTTTTTCTCTCTAAAAAAATACTTTTCCCCAAATTTTCTCGAGCAGATTCAATAGTCGTACGCCACCGCCTCCTCTTCGCACGACCCGATGTCGTCTGGCGCTGACCGCGAAGACCACCCCTTTTGGAGCCACGGATCCCCCAGTTGCGGGTCTTGCTGATCTACAAGGCACATTTTACCACGGTTTGTGGTACCTCAGGTTTCAATTGGGGGCGTCTGACGGGCTCCGACCAGCCTCCTTGGAGTTGGTCGGGCCTGAGGTAAAGCTCTCTCCCCTCCTTTCGCCGTCTCCTTGGGTTTGGTGATCCGAGCTGGGCAATTGGTTAGTCTCGGGTTGTTGGTGGCTGGGTGGTCGGTAGTTGGATTAGTCGATTGATAAGGGTGCAGACTATGGAGGGGTGAAGAAGGTCGTCCTTCGAAGCTAGCCGTGGCTACACTTGAGTTTGGCGGTTTCAATAGCTGGCTTAGTTTGGTCGTCTGGCGCGGTTCTAGCTAGTTGTGGCTAAACTTGAGTTTTTGGAGCAGTGCTCGAACCGAAGACCTATTTGAGTCGGTGGTTGACTTTGGGTGTCGGGCCGCGGTGTGCACATATGGAGAGGAGGGTGTTATTCTATCTTATTTGTATATTATGTTTGTTTTTGTTGGTATTTTGTTGTAGTTTTGTGAATGTGCATTTGTTGTTTTAGCGGCTAGTTCTCTCTTCTAGGAGCTAGGGTCTCCTTTTATGGAAGTTTTAGTTTGTTTATTTTGTGGTTGTGTTAGTGTAGTCTTTTTAAGCTCTCGCATCAGATAATCTCCGGCTAAATGATTGTTTGACTAATTCTACTAGTTGTATTTTGTATTTTTATATGTATAATATATCATTTCGAAAAAAAAAAATAAAAAAAATCGTCCGCTAAATGACAATATGGGAAAGTTCAGGGACCAATTTGTTGATATTCACATTCTCATTTTCCCTAAACCAAAGATATTCAACACTGGCCAGTTGAGTCGCACAGCTGAATCTGAATCGCCATTTTCACTCACCATTTTAACAAAGCATCAAATTACACACAGTCGCACACACTGCGGCGTCCATTGTTCCGCCGGAAAATTTCGGATCCCAGCAATGATATCCCTCAACACCATCGCCAAACCCTCGCCGCCGCACTTCCGCCCCAAAAAACCCCTCAGGAGGCCGCCCAAAACCCTAGCCGCCGCCGCCGCCCCAATCCGCGCCTTCCTCCAGTACAACCGCAAGCCGGAGCTCTCCGGCGAGACCCCCCGCGTCGTGGTCATCACCTCCGGCAAAGGCGGCGTCGGCAAGACCACCACCACCGCCAACATTGGCCTCTCCCTCGCGCGCCTCGGCTTCTCCGCCGTCGCCATCGACGCAGACGTCGGCCTCCGCAACCTAGACCTCCTCCTCGGCCTCGAGAACCGCGTCAACTACACCGTTGTCGAGGTCCTCAACGGCGACTGCCGCCTCGACCAGGCCCTCGTCCGCGACAAGCGCTGGTCCAACTTCGAGCTCCTCTGCATCTCCAAACCCCGCTCCAAGCTGCCCCTAGGGTTTGGAGGGAAAGCCCTAATCTGGCTAGTCGACGCCCTGAAAAACCGCCAGGATGGCCCGCCGGATTTCATCCTCATCGACTGTCCCGCCGGAATTGATGCCGGATTCATCACCGCCATAACCCCCGCCAACGAGGCTGTTCTTGTCACAACCCCTGATATCACGAGCCTCCGGGATGCGGATAGGGTTACTGGATTGCTCGAATGTGATGGGATTAGGGATATTAAGATGATTGTGAACCGGGTGAGAACGGACATGATTAAAGGGGAGGACATGATGTCGGTTTTAGACGTGCAGGAAATGCTCGGGCTGCCATTGTTGGGCGTGATTCCGGAAGATTCTGAGGTGATCAGGAGCACGAACAGAGGTTACCCTTTGGTTCTGAACAAGCCACCGGCCTTGGCTGGTCTGGCTTTTGAGCAGGCGGCCTGGCGGCTGGTCGAGCAGGATACCATGAAGGCTGTCATGGTGGAGGAGGAGCCCAAGAAAAAAGGATTCTTCTCGTTTTTCGGAGGGTAAGACTTTGAAAAGACGTGACTTTAGTTTGTTTTGAGCTGAATATGCATGGGTTAAATTTTTGTATAGTAGAAGGTGAAGTTGCATTGTTGATTTGTTGGTTTTCTTGTGTGCCCTTTGTTTTTTATTGTTTATTTATGGTTGTAGGGATGGAAATCCAAAAGGAGTCTTGATTTTATGATCAGGGCTTTGGTATTATCATCTTAGAAGGAAAGATGGTATTGTCTTGGATGATCATATTTGTATATGTTGGTTCATTCTTTTGTTCTCGGATCTATTGTTTGTCCAAGGCTTCGTTTTTTGCTTCTCTGTGTTTGCACATTTATTGTATATATTGCTATATGGGTACAATCTGGTGATATTTCTCACATGCTATAGTTACTTGGTGAAACTGAAGTCTACGAATACAGATTTAATTCTCTTCATGGATGGTTGTGAAAAGGGAGGAAACTTTTTGGCATGAGTTGTTATTTTTCTCCCATAGGAACTCGGAGGAAAAATGTTGTAATGAGACTCCTACACAGGGTGAAAAGGTGAAAGTTAAAACTTTTTAATCATCCCGAACTTCATCCTGAAATATATTCAAATACTACTTGAGCATGTTCCTCGCTCCATAATGTTGACAAGTTGGAATTGTGAATTGAAGCACAAGTTTGTAGTATGCTCAATTCTAATACTGGTCGAGACAATTTTAATACTGGTCGAGACGTTAAATTCATCCAGCTACATGAAGCATGACTCGAAAGTTCAGTCTGGTTCAAGATTTGAGGACCTTCTAGTGACAAAATTGGACATAGAGGCTCTACATTTTCCATACAGGGCCTAGAAAAATGTCAGCCTTTTTTTTTCTTTGGAGTTCACATTCTTTTATGCATGAACTGGGAAAATGTATCCTCTTGTAGCTTTTGCTTTTTAGTGTTGGTTTTTTTGTGTTCAGGATGGTTTTAGGCTGTCTCGGGCGAGATGCCTATGGGGTTTGCCCTTCCAACTAGATTCAGCTAATTCAGCGGAGTAGCTGATTTATTCGGCTGTTTTCTAGTTTGTATTTACATGTTTTTCTTTTTTTTTTTCAAAAAAAAATATGAGGATCAATAGTGTTTCTACTTACCCTCCTCGGTGACTTGAACTCATGATCAATTGGTCATAGGTGAAGCAGTTACGTATTTTTCTTTTATTGAAGACTGTCGTTTGAAAAAAAAAAATCATAAATAGAATTTGTAGCAACTAGCAACTAAAAAGTAAAACCATCCATAGTTTTTAATTTTAAGTGTCACACTCTCGTTCCTTCCCTCCACGGGCTCCACATACAATCCATTTGGGCAGATTGATTTCCAAAATTTTGGGCTCCACATACAATCTATTTAGGCAGATTGATTTCCAAAATTTTGGGCTTTCTGCATAGTGTACAATTCCTTACGCATACATTTATTTAATTTGGGCCAATTGTTTTGAAAATTTTTGGGCTTCAGACGCGGGTACAGTTTACGGATTTGTCGTACGTTGATCTCTGAGGAGCTCAAAGCTCGAGTTGAATGGGCTTCACCTTGCACACTATGCATGTATAATGTAAGAAAATGATCAGTTGTCAAGATAATGTGATCTGTTATCCATATATTCGTATGTATGTTAATCTCTTATCACATCAAAGAAAAATGAAAAAAAAAAAACATAACAACAACAATAATATTAATAAATAATAACTAAAAGAACTTCAGGAACCAATACATCTGGAAATGTAGAAAACACACCGAAACTTACCAAATTCTCCACAAATATAGTATTGCTCATTTTCTTAGAAGAAATAAACCTCAATTTTGGGTTAGGCCGAATGGTCAATTTCACGCACAAACATTCTTGAGTGTACGCTTTTTACCATGAATTATGATTTTTTAACCATGAATCTGTTGGAATTGTTACAAGCAAAAATTAGGTTGAACACGTATTGTGAATTATTCATTACTTTCAAGTAATAAATTAATATGCGTGCTTGTCCGATTCTGAATTATTTTTCGTTATATGAACAAGTGATAGCTACTCCCACTTTTTGTTGGTATAACTCATAATGCTACCAATAATATTTGTTTTTTCAGTCTCATGGTGTACTTGTCAAACTTTCGGCCAATGGATTCCAAATGGCAACAAACGGAGGGGGGAAATAATAAAGGGAATAAATTCTGGCTTTACAAATTAATCAACCAACTAAAGAGGATGATCCACTTAATTCATATCAATGATTGGGGTAAAATTTAAAACACATCCAATCAACCAATTTGAGAATGTGAAGAGGTGTCCTTGTAGATAATTTAGATTAACGGTTTACCTTTAATAAATGTCACTGGCAAGTTTATTCATTAATGACTAAATTATTTGAAAACTTTTTAAACTACTATCATGTTTTTAACTTTCTCGTCGTGTATGTGCTCATTAGGAGTAGAGGATTCCATGCATATGAGTGAGTATATAAATATCATACATTACCATACAAAAATATTAGTTTCATCACAAATTTTCGTGTGAGTCACCATAAGTAGGCTGCAAACAAGTCGAGTCGAGCATTGACCTTATCGACTAGGATTGATTATTTTTTTTTATTATTTTAGCTGCTCGAGCTCAAGCTCATCGAGCTCGACTCAATAAAATAGTACAATCGCTCGAGCTCAACTCAAAATCAAAATGCTCGAGTTCGGCTAAAAAATTTGTAAGTGTAAAAATAAAATTACCATTAAGCACATATGTTATACTATTGTAATATATATGTATATAAGTGACATTTTAATAATTAAACATATATCTCGAGCTACTCGATAATGCGAAATATGGGCTCGAGCTCGAGCTCGAGTTCGGTCAAACTTGAGCTCGAATCGAACTATGACTCAAGCGCTCCTGAGCCGCTTGATTTGTTTGCAGCCCTAAGCATAACCATTAAGTAGGTCAATCCGTCATGCTAGTTGAGCAAATGTGAATAATTATAATATCAAATGTCATACTTATGAATTAGCAAATGTGAATAATTATAATATCAAATGTCATACTTATGAATTAGCAAATGTGAATAATTATAATATCAAATGTCATACTTATGAATTATGTTGTTTTTAAAAGCATGACATTTTCTAATTAAAGCATACATAGTTGAAAATAGATTCTTAACACAACCAAATGTAGTTTTATATAATTAAACCCTTGCCTAGTCGAATATACACACTTCTTTTATTTTTTTTTAAAAAAAAAAAGATATCTTACGTGATTTGAGTCATTACTTCATTTCGATTTATATATCATCCTATCAAATGCCATCTAATGTAACTATCTTCTTTTACAATAAACTATTTAAATTATCGTGTATGACAATTTCAAACTATTTACTTATTTACTGATTAATTTTAGTTAAGTCAAACATAAAAACTAGTGCTCGTTAATCCATTTCCCAAGTGCTGATTATCCATAAAGAATCCAACTATAGAAACATCAAACACTGAAAAGGAATGCACTAAAAATAATTTCTATTTGGTTTATTTGTTTAACGAAACCAAAGACTCCTATAATTCTTACATTAACTTTACATGAATCTTTCCCAACTATGCTCTGGTAAAACCTTTACGAAGGATTGGACAATTTTATTCTTCTATCAATTTCTTTATCCAACTCCGCTAGCCCGCCTACTTCTTCAAGTTCCTGCACCAAAACAAATAGCAATTCATCAATGTATACTATATTGACTATATTTAAAAGCGTAGGAAAATATATTTTGATTAAGGTATAATATATAGTGGAATACCTTTGGTCCTAAGAACAATCCATATGGGACGCCATTAAATTTGTCCGAGTGGTGAATCTGAAATCACAGGCATAAACATTTATTAGTATTTTTATTAGTCATAAGACCTCAGCTTTATTATACAAGAATTGCAAGGAACCAAAAAAACAAAAAATAAAATATCTATATATAATTATATATATATATATATATATATATATAAATATAAATTCAAANAGATTAGAGTTTCACATTAGTAACAAAATGTAACAAAATGTATGAAAGGCTTTCTAAATTGTAAAGCAATTTTTCCACTAATGAAAAAGAAATAGTATATTGTATTTTACCTGGTGGGCAGCGGCAACTTTCCTGAAATATGGCACGTTGGCGATGGGGCCCACTTGGAATCTCCTGTGGACGAGACCATCGTGAACAAACATGTAGGCCATGCCGAACACCGTAATACCGAGACCCTGCACCAATTGGCGGCGGTTCGTATGTTAGCATGGGCATGCGATGCACTGGATAATATCCCTCTTATGAATATAATTGCATTGACTGAAATTTTGTATTTGACTATTGCTAAAGACAAAAATAATTAAAATATTATTAAAAAAATTTGCAATGCTTACAGCGCCAAAGCAGAGTCCAGGAATAAGGCCTTTATGGAAAAATCCGTAGGAAAGAAGGGCAATGGCTGGGACAGCATTAATTATTGCAAAAACATCGTTCAGCTCGAAAGGTCCTTCTCTCGGTCTATGGTGTGACTGCAATGATTTATTTTATAAGAGGGAAAACAATAGATTAAATGCCTCAGCTCGACTTTTCTTTCTCCTCAATTCACAAATATCTGTCCACCTAATGCGAATTTAAATGTATGCATAACTACCAGAATTCGAATGCTTATTTATCTCTATTTTTTAAATGAATAATGTTGATGCTGATCTTATAGCAGAACAATTCATACTTTTGTATAAAAATAGTACATTTATATCATAAAATACCATATTTATATTATATTTTAGTATGAAATTATTTATATTTATTGTAAGGGTACGATCAAATAACAATCTGACCAAAAAAATTGAAATAATTTTCTAATTATAGAAACATGTTTGTTGGAGATTTTCTTCGACTTGCCAAGCAAAACTACCTCGTGCATGTGCCATAATGAAGCGTGCCATAGAGCTTTGTGTGCCCATCTTGCCCAGTATTCCATTCCCACCTGAAATTCATTCAGGTCAATTTGCTTCAACCCAATCTAGCAAAACTATCAAAAATAAAACATAAAATAAAATAAAAACACCCACAAGCAAAAAAAAAAGAAAGAGAGAAAGATTAAGGATAACTAGTGGTTGATTAGGCAAGGTACATGTATAATTAGGCAAGGTATGTCATAATTTAAAAAACAACATAATTAAATTTTTTACAATAGTATAATTATATATAATCAGTGATTAGGCCTCCTCATGCAAGAATTTGTACTAATCAATAATACAAAAATGGCTCTCAACGCCTATTTAGCCACCAATTACTAGCTTAATTATATGATCTACTCCCTCCATTTTGAAATATAAGGCGTATAAAGATTTCTCAATTTTTTTGAAATATAAGGCGCACTAAAAAATTAAGACAAATTTTTGCATTTTTTTCTAAATATACCCTCATTGTGTTTAAAATTAAGGAAGTGTGGAGTGGTTGTGATTAGAGTAAATAAGGTTAATTTAGTCAATTTATTCATTAATTAATGTCTCCTTAATATTTGTGCAATAACCTTAAATGTCTTATATTTCAAAATGGAGGGAGTAATATATAATCGGAGTAATGAGAGCCTAGTAAATGCTTTTAAAAGTTGAAATTTGTCTATTTTATAATATTTAAAAATTGAATTTATTAGAAAATAAACTCACAGCTGCCCCAAAGGAGAGAGCGAATGTACCAAACATCTCAGCGTATGGTACTTCTCCACCCTGCACCACAAGTAAAAAAAAAATACACAATAATCGTCAGCTCAAAGCCTATCTTCTAGAAAAACCCAAAACACACACACACACACAAATAAGCACTCAATGAAGAAAAAAAAAAATAGAATCTCAAAAACACACACATATACAGAGTAAACTCTGACTAGCTGAGAATTCAATTTAAATCCAATAATATTTGATCTCAACAAAAATAATAAGTAAATGACTGAAAAAAAAAAGCTAAATGAAATTTACCTCCATTTGCCAGGAGAATCTGTAGTAAACGGCCAGGACCGCCATTGACGTGATTCCGAAGCTCGACATGACCGCCGCAACCAGATAAGTGGTTCTCTCTGATCTCTTCCTCGTCGCCCGCTCCACCGCGCGCGCCGCCGCGCTTTCCACCGCCGGATCTGGAATTCCGGCGGACTGCGCTCCGCCGCTCGATTCCCCGCTATCCATCACCATACGTACGGTCAGACTATGTTTTTTCCTCAAAATCCGGCCGAATTTCAGGGCGGAGGGGGTGAGCAGCAGAGCCGATGGCGCGGCCAGCGAGGTGGTCGGTTTTAGGTGGATCGGCGGCGCTCGATTGAAGTTGGCGGAGGCTGTGGAGGTGGTGGAGATGGATAGTCTGGCCGCCATGGACGGTGGTCGTTGGTGGTCGGAGTTGATTGCGATTGAGGGATTTAGAGTGGAAAAGAGGAGAAACGGACGCAGGCCACACCAACACATGTGATGTGTGACTCGCTTTCTGGTTCTGTTTATATAGAAACTTTTGATCGAATTATATGGTGCGCTGGAAAAGTAGAACAATTTTTTTATTTGATTTTTTCGCTTATTTAATTGAAACAAAATCAACGGGGTCGTTCACAAAATCAGTTCATAGACTAAGTGACAGAAGAACGACCAAACTTTTTCAGATTTAACAAATTTTGAAATACACGTAATCACATGTGACAGTCAGGTTCAACCAATTTAATCAGTTTTATTGTTTAATTTAACAGTTTCAGTAAATATTAAATTAATTTATTTTTATCATATAAATAATGTATAAAATTAACTGTAATAAATACCAAAATTATTTAAATTCTAATAACAATAACAAGTTAATAAAAGTATATTAAATATATATATATATTAATTCGGAATACCATTTATTTTAATTGAATTTTTTTGGTAAAACCGGTATGAAACCAGTCTTTTGGCCAAATCGATATGTAGAGGATAATCGTACCGGCCGTGTGTATTAAGGGTAGCTAATTTGCAAACCACTGTGTCTTACCATATGTATTAAGGGTAGCTAATTTGCAAAGGAAAAATTGCAAAATTAATTTAGAGTTTTTACTTGAATTTCAATTTATACATTATTGATTTTAATTGTGGCAACCTTCACCAATTTTTATTTTTTACAATTGATTGCATTGTTTAATTTTATTTTAAAAACCGCGTGAAGGCCTTCAACATTGATGGCAATATGGAAATAAAGTTATCAAATTGGTTTTTTGGGTTAAAGTGGACAGTAGTACGATGACACGTGCTGCACCGGAGAGTGTGACGTGGACCGCCCACCACCGTCCGATGGCAGAGGGGCTGATACCGGGACCTCTCAATCTCCGACTGTGCTGATGTCATCCGCCGACGTGGTCACCATCACTCACTCGCCATGTTGAAGCGGCCACGTGTCTACTGTGTGAAGTCGTGGGTGTAGTTTTAGTTGCCCTATACTTTTGTTGGAAATTGGAATTATCAGACATTACCTTTTTGCTTCACATGGACAACTAGTTCGGTTTGGCTCATTTTTGGACATATGTAGTTAATGATTTTTTACCCGTAAATAATTAAATATATTGTAAAAAATATTTTTTTTTGCAATTTTGATGTTTCATTTATGAAAATTGGGGCACTCGTATTAATTAACTGGAACTAGATATTTTTTTTTGTTAGTGTACGGGTATTTTTGATAAATTTAGCTAAAAAATAAGTTAAAAGTTGATAAATTACATAGTATATCTTATATGATAATTTCGAGTGTTTAGGTGATAAACTGATAGTTGGTTGATTTAAGAAAAGTTTTTAGTAAAATTAAGTTGCTTATTAACTGAATAAAATTTCAATGACTTTTAGAAAACTTATCTAAAGAAATTTATGAGATAATCTTGAATTTTTTTTCTTAAAAAAAATATACCAGCAAACCAAAAACTTATTAAATATAACAATTGTATAAACTAACTAATTCACAGGTTAATTTATAATGATTAACAAACACAATCTATATAGATTTTTTGTGCGTACATTTGGAAAAACATTAAAAAAAACATAGATAGCAAATTTATTCTTAAAAAATTTATTAGTTAACACTCATTTATTAGTGTCGTATATCATTAAAGAGTTATTATATAATATTATCTTTTTGTATGATTGTTTGTCGTGTTTGGATCTATTTATTTTCTTGAAAATCGTAGCCATATCAAACTATATAATGTCGAGTTGAGGTCAAATTGGTATCAGATGGTAAGACGAACTTTCCTATTTTGTGATTCTATAATGACATTTCACGTGATCACGCCTAAAGGGTATCTTGCTAAAGATATTATTCCATAGTAAAATAATATGGATTTGAACTTTTAGGATCTCCTTTCTTCAGCCTATAACATGAAAACACGTGTTAGAGAATTAAATTAAATAACTCATACTTGGTTTGTTAATTTAATTTTTTAACTCAATCAATCAAAGATGTAAAATATGCATGTATGATTGCACCAGTCGGTCCAATCAGTTTCATTTGAAAGGTGAGTAATCTTTCTGATTGATACCAAATAAGGTTTATTATTCTAAAATGAAATCATCAGACTGGTATAGCCGTTTTCAATATATTTAAATCATATATTTGCACAAAATATTGTCGTTAGGTACCTTAATATATAGTTATATATTAGACTTTTAAAAAATAAAAATAAAAGCATGATATGTATAATATAATTATTTATTTTTATCTAAAATTTGTCACAGTTAGACAGTTTATCGTAGCCTTTTGTATTTATAAAACATTATCTATTGTAATATATTTTTTAATTTATTTATTATTTGAATGAATTTATGTAATGCTGTACATTTTTGTGTTTTATGTTGCGCCTATTAGAGTTGTTTTATTGTCTTGGGATGATGAAGCATGCCGGTATTGTGGGCCAATAGCAGCCCAATTCAAAGCCCAATACTATGACTGGCCTAATTTTGGAGAAAATTACTCCTTATGTCTAATTTTACCATAAGCATTCATTCATTCACCTATGAAATCTGGATTTTCTGTTTTGTTCATTATATTGTTTTCAGTTTTTTTTTTTTTCTTTTTCTTTTTCTTCTAATGTGTAATAATGTCTTCTGTTCCACATCAATTTTCTGCTGACATTTTGGTCCTTGCAGGGAGTTGTAGTTTACATGATATATATATATATATATATATATATACACTAAAGGTAGAATTCTGTACTGAGTATACGTATCGGTTTTTAGACCAGAGTGGGACCTGAAGAAAGAAAAAGATCAATCTCCATCTGTCAAGGAGAAGGCATGCGTCTGCTTTCTAGGTTTGAAAAAGCGTGGATTTTCAAGAACGAGAGCCTTGGACTATCTGGTAGTTCACTCCTCCCGGACTCTTTCAGATACCTTAGATCTAGCTATGCTTGCTGAACTTTGCTACCTATTCTTGACACACTTGACACGGTAGGAATAAGAGTAAGCTGAGCTGTGAGAGCTTCAGGCTTAGACCAAAGGGAGAGAAATCAAATAAATAACTTAGACTTCGTAAATCTGATAGATTTTTGGAATCCGGCAAAAAAGATATATATATATATATATATATATATATATATATAAAACGTAAAGTACACAACAAAGAAATTGTTATATTCCAACGGAAAATCCTATGGTAATATATTTCAATGAAAATTCCAATGGATATTCCAATGGTATAGATACCGCTGGAATGATTCCAACGAAAATAATCCGTTGGAATGTGTTTTTCATTGGAATTTTAGATGCAATTTGATAATTCCAACGACTTTTTATGTAGGAATTTCCTTTGGAATATGCAATTTTTGTTGGAATTTTTATTTCCACCCCCCGTTGGAAAATCTACCGTTGGAATCGTCAAAATCTAACGGAAATTTCAATGGAAAACTCATTCCAACGGAATATTTTTGTTGGAATTTCTGTTGGAATCCATTGAAAAAATTCCAACAGAAATAATATCATTAAAATATCCATTGGAATTGCCGTTGAAATTCTATTGAAATATATTTCCGTTAGAATTTTACCATTTTCTTGTAGTGGTATGTTCGGTAAATCTAAATGAAAAGTTATAGTTTAACTTGTATCTGTTGATAATTATTTTCAAATTTATAATTGATAATTTATGACTAATGGTTGAAAACCTATAAAATATATTAAAAGTATTTGATAAATTTAGTTCATAAGTCATATAAAATTTTGCTTGTTCATACTTCCGGGTAGGAGTTTTAGACAAATCTTAAAAATTTCAACTGTCTTTTAAAAAATTATATAGAGAACTTTTGAGTTAAGTGCCAATGTTTTTTAAAAGTTTATCCTTCTAAACCAGTTTTATTTGAATGTGAAACTTATAAGGGAAGTATAAATGACTAAATAGTAGGAAAGATATGAATGTTAGTTTCCTTATAGAGCCAAAAGTCGGCTCTGTAGTGATGCCAATTTTCTATACTTGTTAATTAAAAAGTATAATCATCTCTAATAAATTAAAAATATAATTAATTCATTTTCAAAATTGTTTTTTTTTTATTTGCTATCTATAAGAAATTGATTTCACTGTTGGCTTATATGAATCATTATTTTTTTTCTAGAATTGTGGTACTAAAACTACTAGTGCGTGGCCCGTGCGATACACGGAAAAACAATATTATGATTGTATTACAAATTAAATATATAAATAATATTAATCATGATTTATCCATTGTTTTTAAATTAAACCGGGTTGGACACTGTCCGACTGAATGGACCGAGAACGGTTTATAACCAGTCTAGTTTGCTTGAATAAAATATTTGCTCTCGAATTCCTCAACACCAGTCGGTTGGATCGGTAAGATCGATACGATTTTTTAAATAAATTTTGTTATATTTAACATTATTTTTTACATATTTAAATAAAATAGAGATTTATAAATTATTTATCAATTAGTTTAAACATTTGAATTTATAAATTGTTTAGATATCTAAGTAACACATTATTTATATTTATTAAAAATTTGAGTTTTATTTCAATACCATTCTCTTTTATAATTAATTGATATCAACATTCATTAATTTGTGCAAAAAAAACTTGCAGGTTTATAACCCATAAATTGTGTGAAATTCTTCACAATCAATGATATCACATAATTAATTGTCAGATTTGTATGTTTTCAGCCCAATTGAGTTTTAAAAGAAAAAAATCATTTGGACGCCAAAAAATTTTGTGTAACAATATAATTTGCCGATAAAAATAATAACAAATCTACCGACACACACTCAAATTCTAAGAGTTCTTTTGACTAATCGTAAATACCCAAAAAATCCGAACATAAAAGTATAAAAATCGAAGATAAAAACCTTAAAATTAAAAATTTCACATTTCTTTTTCGAGTAAAACAACTAAAATTAATAAAATCTACAGGCGCAAATTCAAATTCGAAGGATTCTTTTGATTAATTGTAAAAACCAAAAAATTCGAACATAAAACTACAGAAATCGAAAATAAAACCCCTCAAATTGAACAATCCATATTTTGTTTCGTGCAAAACACCTAAAACTAATTTAAGGCATCGATTAAATGAAAACTAAAAAAGAATATGTATTTATAAGACCCTTAGTGTTAGAACGAAAAAGTTGGAAGAAGATCGATGAAAA